CCGGCGTCGGCGTCGTGAGGAGCTGGGACACCTCCCGCCTCCAGGCCTTGCGGAGGGGGTTTGCAGGCAAGCGCTGGCAGGAGGAGGAGGAGGAGACTGCTGCCCGGGCGTCGTGCGGGGCTCTCGGGCCTACCTGGCGCCTTCTGCCCGGTGACTGGGGTTGGTTGTTCCCCCTGCAGAGTGTCGCTGGGTCTTGGCGCCCGTGGCCGCGCTCAGTGCGTGCCTGACTCACCTGTCCCTGCACACACAGCCCTGGCTCAGGCGCCCGCCCTCCCTCCCATGACCTGCCTGATGCTCTGGCATCTGTGAGCGGCCCTTGCTGGGGCCGTGTGCTCCTGTTTTGGGTGCCCAGGGGCTTGTTCTAGCACCGCTGTAGCTCAGGCAGCGTTTTAATCCATACAGGGGCCAGCCGGGGACCGCATCCAGGTGTATTGCTGGGGGTAGGGGGGCAAAAAGGAGTCTCTCTGAAGCTGGTCTGAGTTGAGGGCTCTGGGGAAGGGAGGGATATGAGGTGTTTTCCTGCCCCTCTGCCCCATGCCAGCCCTCCCTGGGATTTTTGCAGCATCTCATACCAGGGGGAGCCCCTGAGTGGTGGTTGTTGCCATTGCCCTCAGGGAGGACCTGGCATTAACTCCTGTGATCCTCCTGAGCACCGTTTGCTTAGCAGAAGGTGGAACAAAGTCTGCTGAGTCGGAGTGTTGGTCACTTCCCTCAGCACTGACAAAAAGTTCTCTCACACTGATGCCTGCTCCTGGCCTTCTGGAGTCCAGACTTGTGTGAAGCGCAGCCGAATATCCACCTTCTTTATTAAAGAGTTTGTGACGGCAATTGCCAAGTTCCCCGTGGCAGTGGAGGGGCGCACTGGGAAGGGTAGGCAAGGAGGCGGTTGCTGTAATACACCGCAGGCGTGGGAACACAGGGGTTTTCAGAGCTGCTGGTGGAGACTTTGCTTTTATTTTATCATGAATCCTCAGGTCGAAAGTTTGTAGGTGAAATCTGAAATGGGCCTGCTATAACAGGAGACGTTTTTCTTGTCAATGCTGCTTTCACATTTAACAATTCCCTGGTTTCTAAGTGTTTAAATTCTCCCTGCTTGCTTCCGTAGCTGACTTTGATGAATCTAAGCCCCCCAGCGTAGGACAGCTGGATACGCTGAAAGAGTTTGCTGGAATCGCTGCTGGAGACTCAGATCCCGAGAGCTTGGCTACTCTTGCCTTTCTTTATATGTGCCTGGCTATTTCGGCTAAGTATGGGTAAGGGTCTCTCCCTGCCCCACAGGAAACCTGCTGTCATTCACCCTTAATTGCTTCTGTGAGGTCACGGGAAGAACCCAAACCTTGGAGGCCAAATAAGAAGGGCCAAGGAGTCTCATTTAGGTTCTGAGCGCCTCAGGAGACACTCTTCAGGGCTGAGCTGGTGGGTGGGTGGGCTGCCCCAAGCAGGTGGGCTGGGAATCAGCCGCTCTCGTTTAGACATCGAGCTGCGAGGTGCTTAAGTCAGAGCAGTTCATCCCACCCTGGCCGCACAGCAGCAGCCAGGCGTCCCTCCCTCCAGCGGGCAGCTCGCTTCGTCCTGGCTTAGGTTAGGAAAACTGCTACAGAAATGCGCTGTGAGTCCATTGTCTGAGCTGAGTTGGGTCCCTCTTGTGGGCTGAAGCTCCCTAAAAATATGAGAATTGGGGGTAACGGCAGCTCAGGGCTGTTCCAGTTTCTGAACTGGACCAACACTGTTGATGGTGTCGCTGGGAGTTACGGGACGGGTGCTCAGGGCGCTGTGGGACGCAGCACTGCTGCTATTTCAAACCAAGCCAGAACCTGACTTCGATATTCACAGCGAAGGAACCAAAGGTTAAAGAATGATGATGTGTTGCCACGTCGGGTTTTGCTTTGCAGTCTCCGAGTTGCTCGGTGATAGCGCTGGGGCTGTCATCAGCCTCCTCTGGAGCCATCAGTTCATAGTTCATGTCACTCACCAGCCGTGAAAAGCTCCTGGGTTTGATGTTAAGGTCTGTAACACAACCCGGATGCTTTCAGGGGAGAAGAGGGGCACGTGGGCACGGATACGTGCTCGGTTCATCTTCCCCATCAGCTTGTCGCTCCAGTGGGATGTAGCTGCGCAGCTACGGATTTGGGATATTTAGGCTTTATTCAGAAATACGTTTGAAATCGTGTTTACAACAATCTTTGAGGGGTCTCTTTATGGTGCTACTCAAGTATTTAGTTACTGAGTGCCCCTGCTAGCCGCTTGACAAGCTGTGCTAATCACAGATCCGATTCAGCCAGGCTTTGTTCTCCTACAATGGCTTAGCAGGGCTACTCCACTGCGCCCACCGAGCGCTCGTGAAGCCCCTCTGTGTCGGGTGCGTGGGCTGATGTTGCCACTTTCCAACCGGCTTTTCCCCTGATCCCTTCTAATTGGCACCTTTTTGCCTTTGAAATCTTGCCTCGAGGCGGAATTCGGGGTCGGTGTGTTACATCCTGCGTGTTTGTGTTTCAGAGACGTTCCCAGCGTGGACATCCTGGTGTGGTCTGAGCTGCCCACGGGCGCTGGGCTGGGCTCGAGCGCTGCCTACGCCGTGTGCCTGGCGGCGGCCCTGCTGACGGCCTGCGGAGGCGTTTCGTGCCCTCTGAAGGAAGGGGAG